AAAAGACAAAAATTCTTAACTAGCAGAACGTCAAGTACGTTGATTTGATTATGAAGTATAAGTTACGATTCATTCTGCTGGATCACTACAGCGCTCAACAAAAGAGGATGCCTTCCTTGAACAAACATAAAATAGATAATAGTGAGCTGATGTTTTAGGAATATGTGAGTCAGGGTTAAACTTAATTGCCAGCATCAGTCTGGTCCTGATTGGTTATTCCTAATGCAGTTATACAGCGAAAATCTTGTTCATCCTGTAGTTTTTATGTCAGACTCAGGATGGCATTGGATGGAATTAATTTTTTGTCTAATGAGTTAACAAAATCTGCCCTATCCTATCCCGTGGGCTGCGTAAAATCGTGACAAAATTCTATGAAGCTTCAAATGATCTTATCAGAATGAGAGTTCTTAAATTAGAGTGTCATTCAATGTGTTCAATGAGAATTTCAAATAGAGTGTACTAGTAAACTATGCTTTTCAGAACACCATGTATCCATATAATTACTCTTTTCGTGTACATCAAGTAACTTCAAAATAAAAACATATTCATTAAAATTTTGAAATCTATGCAAAAAGCATGAAAAATGGTATTTTTGATGATGAAGTGAACATAAAATTGATGCTTTTTCAAATTCATTGATTAAAATAGACATATTGATTAAAAAATGCAGTGAATTTGTTTAAAAATTAAATTCAATGTATGATTTTCAATTAAAATACTGGTATTCATCAACAAGAAATGAAGGGCGTGGGTGTGGGTATCGCAATTAATACCCACATCTCCAATAGAGGAAATCAAACAATCACGAGTATTAATTGGTGAGATGAGAAAACTGTAGCTTGGCGAATTACTTTTACAGTGAAAGAAATCGAACAATAGCAAGCATTTGCTCTTGGGAGGAGTGTGACTAAACGAGCTACTATATCACCAAAAGAAACTGAAAAAGTGTGTGTATTAGCTCGCAGGAGAAATACTGAAATACGCGCTGCCTATGCACCGGAAGAAAGTCGAGCAACAGCAAGCAGTGGCTCGTAAGAGAAAACATCTTCAGAAAAATGTGTAAGCACAAACAGTTATTGATGGAAACAAAAACCATAAAAGTGACGATACTGAATAGCCAAAACCTATTGAAATGGAATGCACAATTAACTGCTAAAAAAACTTCAGTCGACATATGTCAATGAGTTCTCTAGCAGAGAATGTTTGTGGCATTTGTAATGTTCGTTGCTATAAGAGTAATCTCTGACACATACCCTTGCGCGAAATTCCATCGATTGAATTGCTTAGAGTACATAATGATCTTTATGACATAATTTCCATAATGCAACGAATGAGCAATTGTCATTCAAAAGATAAGTTTAACAAGAATGACGATCTTGGTTTAGCTTTCGGTCGAGACGAAAGAGAAGCAGCTGGATCATTGTAACACTTAGACCAGCAAGATTAATCAGGTTTCTTTTTATTATAGATAGGAATACAAAATCATCAATGGATGGTCAATCATTTACTTGGGTAAACAGTATATTTCTCTATAAAGCAAGACGTCATAAAGATTTTGATAAAAAGAGACAATCTTCGGTATACTGTGACATTTGTACAAAATGTTGGTAGTCCGTGGTGAAAGCAAAAATACGCAAGTTTTCAGCTCCCAATAAAGTATGAATGGGAGATGTGTCACAGCAATTACAAGGACTAACCATTCCTGAGCAAACACTGATTGCTCTCTACCAACATAACAGCTGCATTGTGAAATTATATTCGTCTTTTCATTCGACAAGTATAGCTCAATCAACTTTACAAGGCAACTGTATAAGCTTTCCTCAGGATGTTATTAACATAGCTACTATCTGCCATTAGAATTAGATGATCTATGTGATTCTTTAAGAATTATTTTTTTTAATTGTCGCACTCCACAAAAAAGTCAACTAAAAAATGTTTTGGCTGTTCGAAAAACAAAAGTTTCTGATGCACTTAAATGACTTAGCCCAAACAATCTACTTCATCGATATGTTACAATTAATCAATCAACAATCAATAAATTACTTGAGAATGATGTCCCGGAGTGTTCCTGGGCAACAATGGAAATTTCCGCTAAGGTAGAGGCGGTTGAAAACGAAGGATAACTTATAGTTTTAACCCTCTGATCAATGCATCTGAGTCCAACACTATAACAGCTATACCAATAATTGCGAGGTAAAGCAAAAAGGCATTGATATTTGTATCTACCATTGTTTGTGTTGTAGTGCTAGCTTGCATGTTAACGGTACCAAAATTTCGTCTGATGACGTTGCTGGACATCTTTTAGAATGAATAAAGGTACAAATGGGTGGTAAAACGCTGAAAAAAGACATCGAGGAAAACGTTGAACAAGATACTGTGTACATAATTCCTCATGGTAACAAACCGGCCAATCAATATTCTAATCCAAATCTTTTATTGGGTATCTTTCCTACATTTTTTCTGTATGGATGTGATGCACTTGAAGATTACTCTCGACCAGTCCAAATTAATTTTCGTGAGCATCTCAGATATCTAGTTTCGTACGGATATCATCGTTTTGAAGAACACTACTCATTCATATTTGTTGTCTTCAATATTTTACAACGCTGAATCGCGTGCTTCCATGCCCAATTAATAACATCAAAGCCGTACTTTCAGCAATTCGCACAACTTCTTGAATTATTGAGTTCTGAAGATGTAACAACGGCCCTTGTCAACATCTCAAAAGCGTCTTATTCCAAAGTTACTAATGAAAGAATAAATACGCTCATGAAGCATATCAAAGTGGTTGGTGGTCATGTTATGGATTCAGTTCATTCACGGTCGTCTCTTCGTACGAAAATTCATTCTTTGTGTTTTAACCTCGGTCTTCCAACTCTCTTCCCACGAATCAATCCAGCCGACATACATAGTCCAGTGGCATTTTATTTTGCAGATGTTGATCTAGATCTTGACAAAGTTCTGCCAGAAGTGTTGGGTACAAGTTATGAACGTGCTCAAATTATTGCAACACATTCTGTTGCTACTGCAAAATTCTTTAACTGCTTAATAAAAAGCATCTTGAAAAGGCTTGTGCTCGGTAGTATACTTGGCCCTACTAAAGCATATTTCGGCACTGTCAAGAATCAAGACAGAGACTCGCTTCATTTTACACCTTCTAATTTGGCTCAATCATGAGTTTACTCCAGCACAATTAAAAGAAAAGGTTCAAAACCAAGATTTTCGTGAAAATTTACTAAAATATTTAGAAGATGTTGTAAAAGAAGATTTAGATCTGTGTCGAGGTAATACATTTAGCACCGTTCGAATTTGCGATTTGAAGTATTCGGATTTGCCTATTTGACGAAATTTTATACCCTGAGAATATGTTATCGTTGCTTTAGCCTAGAGTTGAGCTCTCAACTAATTCTCAATAATCTAAAATGTGTTTAATTCGAATTGCAGATTCTTAGTAACCATAATAACTGCATTAGATCATTTGTACTTTTAAATTTGGCCATCCTTTTTAAAGATGAAAGCAACGATGAAACCAGTACAGCAAGCGATAACAGTACATCAATTCGTGACTTTGTAGCTTTTAGTATATCCTTAATTTTGCTTTTGCCTTGGTTTTAGAAGAAACTGGGCCGATAACGAATGAAGTTGTACCGGCCTATCAACCAACGCCAAATCCTGTGCTAGATGGCTTCCATCGTATTTTTCGCAAAGATATAGTGAGATTAGTCGAAGCATGCAATATTCACGAGCATTCTGCAATGTGTTACAAATACTCGAAAGACAAGTCCAATGGTTCAAAAGCTTGTCGAATGCGTACGCCACGTGTACTCGTGAAGACTTCCAACATCGATCCTTCTACAGGCCAGATAGCTATGCATCGATCACATATGTGAATCGACAACTTCAATGAATGGCTCTTAAATGCTTGTCGGTCGAAAATGAATTTTAAATTCATCTAGAATGGTAACGACGCTAAAGCTTTAGGGTACTATATAACTGATTATGTAGCAGAGTCGACTCTAGCCTTCTATGATATGTTTGCCCTTACGCAGCAAGGAGTCAAATCTATTGAGCAGCAGAAACTGAAGAACAGTTTCTATTAAAGCCAACAAAAACCAAAAGCGGTGACGGGTATGTCATGATAAACACTCGTCCGGACTATTAGCATTGATCAAAAGATCTAAGTGCATTATGCCTATATGATTTTATCAGTCATTTTCACAAGAAGGTTATTGAAAAATCAGATCTCCGTTTACTAAAGAATGAAGATGGGCATGAAGGTGAACGATTATATACCGAAGGAACAAAAATAAACGAACGACACACATTTGAAAGTGTACATCCACAATCATCATCACATACAATCATTAAACGTGCCACTCTAGTGGTACCAGTTCTGCTTGGTCCTCCAATACCCCATCGCGAACAAGAAGAAACACACGAGCGTTATTTTCGTGCATTGCTAACTTTATTCGTGCCATGGAGATCAGTCCACGATCTTTGTGCACTAAATCAGACATGGTCTGAGGCACTGGAAGTTCGAAAACCATTGATCTCTTCTAGTTCACTCAAAATTATAGAAAATATACAACTTTTGCATGAATGTAAGCACGATCGAGGTGAGTACCTTCATCAAGTTCTTTTAGAAGCACAAAATGACAGCAGCATTGATCCTATTCTGATCCCTAACTCCTATGAAGAAGATCAAAATACTGAAGAAGATGATCCTGAGCAGCTTCTGCAAATGCTTTCCATCGTAAATGAGATCATCACAAATACTTACTCGACATTGACAGTTACTCACGAACAACGCTATGTTCATGATGCATTACAAGCAATTCATAATACAGATAGGTTTGCATTACTCAATGGTAAGTTAATTATTGCCATATTCCGAAGATATTTTGTTTGATTTGAGCCGTACACGTTCTCTGGACGAAAATAATTATGGTGCCATACACGATGTCCACACATTTGTCGTAGCTCGCGAGCATCATACGACCATGTTTAAAGAATGGAAACGTGATATTGAAGCCCAACGAGATGAAACAAGAAACTATTTAATTTTAGGCGAAGATACTCTGGAAATACGAGATGATGAAATACGGATTGAAATCGTAGGTACTGAAATTCCACCAAGCCCAATTAAAACGAAAGTTGCAACAGTCCTACCTGTGACTGCAACCAATGCGATTTTATTTCCCACAAAACAGGATATCGTCAAACAATTTACGCTAAATATACAGCAAAAATATGCTTTTATGATTGTTACTAGTCACTTAGTTGGTGAACATTATGCTTATACCGGTATATTATCTAGATTTTGTTGTTGTAAGGTTTAGTTAGTCTTAACATTTAGGTACTATCGATAATCAGTTATTGATGTGTATACCTGGCTGTGGTGGCACTGAAAAATCTCATTTGATTCGTGCAATTACGAAGTATTTCCAAGTAACAAAACGTGGCAAGATGTTGCGTAAACTGGCACCAACGTCTATAGCACCAGCTGAAATTGATGGATTAACTATTCATTCATTTTTAGGTGTAAGTCGCAAAAACACTAAAAAGAAACAAATCCGTACATTTAGACCTGGCGATACGAAATTGGAAAATGAATGGCGCCATGTGAAGTACCTGATAATCGATGAGATGAGTATGGTAGGACTTAGCCTATTAGCTCGTCTTAATCGAATAGTGAAAACAGCCAAGCACGTAAATTCTGAGATACCTTTTGGTGGCGTCAATGTCATTTTCTTCGGCGACTACCTTCAATATTCTCCTGTTTTGGACAAGCCTCTCTACTATAGCTGCGCACCGACACAGCAAATTACAGAACGCCAGATAGATATGTTGTGTGCACAGAAGCTTATGTCTGAAATAAACTGCGTTGTTGAATTAACTCTGCAAATGCGAACCGAAGACATAAGATATTTGGAGTTTTTAAATAGATTAAGACATGGACAATCGACAATAGAAGATTACCAACTTCTGTGTACGAGAGTTATAGGAAATCCAAAACTTCAAGTATCTCTACAGCAAAAGCCATGGAACGAAGTATGCATACTCATTTTCTCTGTGTATCACATTACTTTTCTATTAATAGGCTCCAATACTGGTTTTTCGGAATACGCTACGCACTCAAATTAATAATAGGGCTGTCTTAAACAAAACAATGGAAATGGGACTTACCCCAATTGTATGCATTGCTCAAGATTATATTCAAGGAAAAATTGTGGATGATTTACAATTACGTCAAGCGATACTTGAACTACCAGATAATAAAACAGAACATCTTCCGGGGTATTTACCTCTCGTACCAGGAATGCCAGTTTTACTCACAGAAAACGTCGCTAGTGAGCTAGGACTATCCAATGGTACACGTGGAATCTTTCATCAACTTGTATACGATGAATCACCAGAAGATGTTCGATACCACAATCAGAATTTTCCACCAAATACCAAGTTTATAACGCAACCAAAGTACGCTTTAGTAGAATTTCCTGGTTGCAAACTTGATGAAAAACTTGCTCAACTATCTTCCAAAAGAGTTCCTATAGCTATTAGTGAACAAACATTTCTGTTTGACGCCAAAGAACTTCCTCCAGAAAATGTAGCAAAAGTGGCCAAAATAAACAAGAAAACAACAAAACTCACGGTCAAACGTAAAGCACTTCCGCTTATACCCACATATAGCATGACAACACATAAAAGCCAAGGACAAACACTCGGTAAAATTATCGTTGTATGGTCATGCCTCCTGGATCACTCGAAGTTGCATCGGTTTATGTTCCATTATCTCGTGTAAAGAGACTTGACGATATACTTATTATACGGCCATTTGTATTTGGAACACTTCAAGTCAAACCATCAACGCCCCAAATAGAAGAACTTAAAAGACTAGATAGAATAGCACAAAATACTCGGAAACGTTTTCAATTCATCGCTTAAAACAACAACATCTTAAGAATGCCGTGATGTTCAGAAAAACCATTTAACTCAAAAAACTATAATGCATGCTCCAAATCTGTTCTTTTTACAATTATAGCCTATTGATCATTTGTACAGCTTGCACGAAACTATATTTCAAATAAAAGTCATCAAGATAAATAATAATGAAAACAATTTGAACTATGTAAACGAACTGTATTGATAGAAAGTCACTATCGTTTGTACATTAAATCATCATTCCAAGCAGCATTTCACAGCTACACACCACAACAGAAACTACATATGACACACGTCGTAAAAGAAAAGTTTCTTAAGTAACGATTTCAGAGAAGATCAGCAATGTCAACCGAATTTTCTTACCAACATCTCCGCTAACAACACTTGCAAGTACACCTTCATGTGACCTCATCGTAACAAATCGCCAAGCTACATCGAGAACCAGAGGCAACCGAATGACCTTCATTTCATTAAACCAATTTCCATAAACAACTAGTACAGTAGCATTAGTTTCCACATACCACTAAAATTTACAGAAAATCCCAAGAGTACTGCTCTAATAGGTTTTCTAACCATACTCTAATCTCAACTTTCATTTTGAAACACATACAGAGTGCGTATGCATACAGGATCTAGTGTGGTTGTCGGTGTGGGTATGCATAATAATGCATTTCATTTAATTCCAAATCCAAACATACACTCACACTCCAACCCATCCAAACGTACTGAGTACCCACACCCACACATTCACAACCGCCCACATCCACAGCCGTATCCACGCCCACATTTTCACACACACCACAATCCCACCCTCCACATCATACACCACTCACACCCACAGCCACGCCGATGCACATCCACACTAACCTGAAAACTTTAGGCTGGTGCAACTCCCAACTCCCAAAATCTCATTGGCGCATAGCCGATCCGTGAAAACCTACGATTTGCTAAGAACATGTTACCTAAAATCTGATTGGCTGGCATGCAGACGAAGCAGACATCTGATTGGTTTGGGGGGGGGAGGGGTGGGACTATCGACTAATCCAATAGCTAATATTAAGTTTTGTTGTAGGATCGATGATGTTATAGGTCAAAAAAACTTTTTTTCGTTCTGTGCGAACGAACGAAGTTACGAACCTTGCTCGGTGTATGACCCTCCTTTCAGTAGAGGGAATAAGAATCTTAAAAAGTAAAAAGCAAGAATATTTATTGCGGAGAAACAGAAAGAAAAAAGCTGAATGAAATAATTAAGAATTACTTAAGGTTAATCAAAAGTTATGATCACGTTTTTTTTAAAATTTTATACAATAGTTAACATCGAAAGTTTTATTACATGAATACATAGTAGAATGCCTCGTCTATAATAATCAACGTAACAACTCTATCTTGAATTTAATTCTAACATTCTCTTAGATAAAGTCTACCTATAGCTGACCAAAAGTGTTGATCACAGCAAAGAAAAATATAAAAAGAAAGAGATATTTTTAGTTTTATTTTATTAAATGTTCAAAATAGGCACGATTATTATCTATACAAGATTCCATCCTT